AGGATTCATATTATCTGAGTACTGCTGTATCTACTTTTCTGCTCTACTTTTCATTTTAGCCTCAGATGATTCTGGGCTCTGACTGAGCCTGTTCTGGACTATATTAAACCTTGAGGCAACATTTTACAATAAAGTTCCATTCATTAGTGTTAGTTAATTCATTAGGTATCATTAAGTATGACCTAAAAATGAACATCAACATTTAGGGTTATAGTTCATGCTTGTTCATAATACATTAGATGTTTTAAGTTACTATTAACCAAATTACTATTAACCAATAATAATAATAATAATAATAATAATAATAATAATTCCAGTTTCTCTGATGTTGTCAACTTTGTTTTATTGCTGAGTATATCATAAGCATACATTCAAATGGAAAAAAAATGTAATTCCTCCTTTAATATATTTGATTTGAGCTTGTGAAAATATTCTAGAGCTTTATATATTTAAAAAAGCATGCAAATTATTTATTATTGTAGTTTATTCTTCTTTGATGTTTGATCTGTTACCTATTTGTCTCAATTGTTGCTCCTTGTGTTCTTTTTTAAAATTATTATTTGTATTCATTGGTGGATGTCTCTTGCATTGTTGGATGTTCCCTGTCTTGCTTTGTACAATCTGCAAAGTAATAATAATAATAATAATAATAGCGAATGTTAATTTATACAATTTCAAAATAAATAAAAAACAAATAATGCAGTTAAAAGTTTTGGTCGTTATTTCATGTTAGCTGTGGCATAAACACATTTTAATGAATACAACTATATTGTAAACTGTTACCAACCTTGACTATGATTGCTCATTGATAAACCATATTACCGTACAGTAAGGCTAGACCAAATGTTAGCTACTGTATATAAACTGTGGAAGAGGCCGACTATTCCTGGTAGTAATAACCAGGCTCTAGTTTTGTTTAGGGGCTGTTAATCACCTCTTGTACGTTTTTTTTTAGCCAAGCTTCCTTGAAGCAACATCATGTGCAGTTGATATTTAGGGCCCTCTCTCTGCAGTGACTACAGCCCAGCATGTAATTAGCATACCACTGCTACAACAAAAGCACTAATTATTATTCTTAGACTATAGTTAATGAACCCAGCTGCAACCGAGGGCCCTCTGCCATAGCGCCTTACCCACCTATCACCACTAAATAACTTCATCCACCACAACTGTGACCAGCACCGATCTTCCCCCCACCTTCACGGGGCACAGAATGGTCTATGGAATTAGAGACAGAACTGCATTTGCACAGTTGGTTTAGTGTGTCACACTGTGTTTCTCTCCGGTCACCTCTTCCACTACAGCCCCCCGCCGCCACTGCCGCCGCCCTCCGTAACCCCTCACTCCATATACAGCCTGCACCTTCTGTGGAGCGTCGTTTTTGGGATCAGGTTACATGTCATTAACAGTGCCTCTGTGGGCCAATTCAAGCAAGTAATTAGCAAGGGAACGTGCATTCCCATGGTGATGAGAGGCACAAGCCATCTCACAAACACACTTGGGCCGGAGCCCTGCATTTGAGGCCGAGCTTGAGTGTGTGCAAGCATCATATAAAAACAATAGGATTTGAATTTCAAGTCATTTAAAATAGTCTTCCCTCCAGGAGAGGGGGTGGTCAGCTGTTCTTTAGTAAATTGAGAGAGTGAGAGATCAAGGTTCAGTCGGCTTGTCAGGCCTGTGGCCCTGTAATCCCCAAAGACGACTGCCACTTTTGTCCACTTCTAAAAATACCTCCTCTGGCACCCCTTTATCACTTTACCATTACCTTTCTCAACATATCAGAATCACAAACTGCTTCTTTCACCATCTTTTTTCTGTTTGTGACTCTTGATCTGTTGGTCTGAGTACACCGATAATAATGTTTGCGCAAAATGAAGAGCAGGACGCGGGAATTCTGTCTGGGTAACACATCCGGGGCAGAGAACAATAATAGCCCTGCCTGAAAATACAAGAGGCAAAATAACAACGGTGGATTCCATTACAAAGGCCTTGGATGGAAGAGAGGCCTGCTGCTTTGAAGGACTATTCAGGAGAGGCGAGTTCCACACAGATCGGGTTGCCTTAATTTAGGCCCTACCTGGAAAGGGAGGAGGGTCGAAGTCTCGTTTGATGTGACAGGCAATGGCCATTCTTGTCCCGCCCAAAGCCACACACATCACACCTGCCCACATGGCATCACGTATGACCCCCATGGTCACGGTGCATTCATTGCATTGCTGTAGTGGAACTCAGCAACCTCCCGATACAGCATCACTTAACTTCTTCTATTTTGAGTAATATTCTAATTGTGTATTTAGATTTTTATAAAGGCATTTTTAGATTTTAATAGCATCATATAAAAACAATAGGATTTGAATTTCAAGGCATTTAAAATAGTCTAATGGAATAGAAAGGAAATGCCAGAAGGAATATGGGTCAATGACACTTGTCATTTTTAACTTATCTTTAACCTTTTCTATGATGAGAATATTTAAATTTTTGTATTAAAATTAATTTTTAGTGAGGCTCATAAATGTCAAGGTGACAGATATATATACACATAAATACACACACACACAAAATGCTTTACTGCTTATTTATATGCTTGTTTTTGTTCATACATTTTTTTTTATAGATTTACGATGTATTTTAATACTATAAATAAAAAGTAACATGCTACTTTTTACATAAGTGATCTAGCATAATATGATTTATCAATGAAAATCATTAATTGATAAACCATATAATGCTAGATCACTCATCACTTTGCTTACTGCTTACTTAGATATTTAAAAAGCTGCCAAATCACGTCAAGTCATGTGGTCCAACCATGCAGACACATGCAGGGAAAAAACATCATGACAGGAAACAGGAAATGATATCATAGAGAGGATGTGGATGTCCCCTCATGGATGTGTGTCAAGGTCAATAAGTGTCTTAAAATATTACATAATTTGACCTTTTTATGACAAGAATGTTTTACGTATTTATGACATTTTCATTCAAATTATTTGTAATATATACCTAGGCTACTATATATACTGTATATATATATGGGCTATTCTTTCATTATTTCTACATCAATTAAGCAGGTAAACGGTCTGAAGTTGATTCTAAGTGTGCCATTTGCATTTGGAAGCTGTTGCGCGCGTTAAATATCGCATGCGATTAATCGTGCAGCCCTACTGTAAACCCACATATGCGGTCAAAGGATCTCTCCATACAAGTGAAACAGAAAATTGTTAGGCTTCAAAAACAAAACAAATCCATCAGAGAGATAGCATGAACATTAAGAGTGGCCAAATCAACGGTTTATTACATTCTGAGAAAAAAAGAATGTACTGGTGAGCTCAGCAACATAAAAAGGCCTGGACGTCCACAGAGGACAACAGTGGTGGATGATCGGAGGATCCTCTCCATGGTAAAGAAAAACCCTTTCACAACATCCAGCCAGGAGAAGAACACTCTCCAGGAGGTAGCCTTGTCACTGTCGACGTCTACAATCAAGAGAAGATTTCACGAGAGCAAATATAGAGGGTTCACCATAAGGTGCAAACAAGGCCAGATTAGACTTTAAAAAACATTGAAAAAAGCCAGACCACTTCTGGAAAAGCATTATTTTGACGGCTGAAATTAAGATCAACCTGTACCAGAATGACGGGAAGAAAAAAGTATGGAGAAAGCTTGGAACAGCTCATGATCCAAAGCACACAAAACAACATCTGTGACACATGGTGGAGCAGTGTGATTGCATGAGCGTGCATGGCTTCCAGTGGCACTGGGTTACTGGGGTTTAGTGATGTTGTGACACAGGACAGAAGCAGCTGGAAGAATTCTGAAGTGTATAGGGATATACTCTCTGCCCAGATACAGTGAAATGGAGCAAAGTTGATTGGACGGTGCTTCATAGTACAAATGGACGATGACCCAAAACATACAGCAAAAGCAACCCAGGAGTTTTTGAAGGTAAAAAAGAGTGGAATATTCTGCAATGGCCAAGTCGATTCCATGATCTCAACCTGATTGAACATGCATTTCACTTGCTGATGACAAAACTAAAGGCAGAAAGACCCACAAACAAACAACAACTGAAGTCAGCTGCAGTAAAGGCCTGGCAAAACATCACAAAGGAGGAAACCCCGTCTCTGATGATGTCCATGAGTTCCAGATTTAATTCTGTTCTGGTGGCATAGAGAGCCGAAATTATGAGAAAATTGTGTCAGTTATATACATATATATATACATATATATATATACACATATATATACACATATATATACACATATATATATACACATATACATATATACATATATATATACATATACATATATACATATATATATACACATATATATATACACATATACATATATACATATATATATACATATACATATATATATACATATATATATACA